CTTGGGAGATGCCACCGAGAAATTCAGGAGGATGAGGGGGGAAGAGAGGGTGGGCGGACTGGTGGGTTTCAGTGGCGGAGGGTGGAGAGGAACGGGCTGCGGTTCAGACCCAGGTCCCCGCCATGAGGTTCACAAGGCAGGAGAGAAACCACAACCACTAAGGAAAGCACAAAAAGCCAGTGTTTCAGGGCAGGAGGAAGCAGAAAGTCTGAGACAAGGGTGGAAGGAGAGGAATGGGTGGGCAGGGCCTCAGCAGTGGAAGGAGCAAGGTTGAGGGATGCTTAGGGAATTCAAGGAAGGGGGAAGGAGACAAAGGGAAAAGTTGAGAGAGTGGGAGGGAGGAAGGGAGAGAGAAGGTGCAGGTAAGAGCAGCTCTCCCAATTTGGTGTTGAGGACAACCACAGGACAGGGTTGGGCAGCCTCAGGCATCCCAGGTGTGTTCAGCAGAGCTGCTCCACTGCCCTGGTCTCTCTGGGGGTTGGTCCCAGAGCACACAGAGCAGGAAGGCAGGGAGGAGAGGCGCCCTCTATGGATGGCACCCTGACATACTGCTGTTCCCCTACAGGTCTGCAGACTAAAGCCAGAACTGTAGCCAGGTGAGTGCTTGTCCTGCTTGGGAAACAGGAAGTCCCTTATGGGAAGAGCACAGGGCACCTATCACTCCGCTCTCCTGGTCCTTTCCCAGTGGGTGTCTCTTTTCTCAGAGCCACTTCCCTCCTCAGCTCCCAGCCTCGCCTCCCTCCCTCCCGCTGGAGCCCTCTTCCTCTCCACCCTCCACCCTCTCCTTCCCTCCAGCCCATCTTTTCGACTTCTTTCCTTCCCTCCAGCCCCTTTCCTCCCCTCTCTCCCTTCCGGCCTGGGCACCCTCCAGAAGACCTGAGATGGGTGGAGCTGCTGTTCACTCTCTAGTTTGTACCAACACCGCAGGGCAGACAAGACTTCACCCTTTCCAGGGCTCTTCCAACAAAGCAGCTTCTCCAGGACAATCCGCCTGCAATGGGTCCTTGGGACCTCTGCTGGCTACACGGCAAACTGCCTCTGGATCTTCCAGGAGGCCTCTAGAGAGCTTCAAATGAGAGCTCACCTCAGAGTGTCAGGGGGTCGCAGAGCCCCCACACAAAGAACCAGCCCCACACAGGTTTGAATTCTCTTCTGCTCAGCCTCTAACCCACTTTCCGCCCTCTCCTTCCTATACAGGGGATCCTTCCAAAACACTGAGGAGAAATATGAGAACATTGGGATTAAAAGTAAGTTCTTATGGCCATCACTCCCCCACCCTCCACCTTGGCCTATCCGCCCCCACACACTCCCTGCTCACACACGTGCCCCACCCATCCCTCCTGCCTGACCCTGGTCCTTACGCAGCAGATGACCTCACTGCTGGAGGCCCCTGCCCATTTCCCTACCCTGGCTGGCATGCCACCTGACCCCAGCACACCCTGATTTTTTTCTAGGACAACAAACAGGGCCCCGGCTGGAGCCCAAGCTGGAGCCCAAGGTGGAGCCCAAGGTGAGCATCTCAGACTAGGGCCTGAAGGAATTAAAGAGAAGTTTGGGGAAGGTGGGATGGAGGAAATAGAGGGACTGCTCACAGCCTCGGTGGAACCCTCAGGTGCTGGGTTACTGCTCTCAGGTGGGGACAGCTCCCCTTCCACTGTCTCACCCCCTTCTCCTTCCTTCTCACCAGGATGAAGCCCAGAACAACAGCGGCATCCTCTACGCCTCCCTCACTCTCTCCAGCTCCTCATCACTGGCAGCATCTCCCTGCATCCCTCCCAAGGAGAGGCCCCAGGAGGAGACCCTATACTCTCTCATAAAGGCCTGATGAGTGGGACTGAAGGATGACCTCCTTAGACTAAACTGCCCAGCGGGTCACAGCTTCTGATAATGACCCCGGCCAGACACAGAAGACTCAGAAGTCAGCAGGTGTGGAAGGCCACCAAGGACCGCAGAAAAACAGAGCCATCTGCTCCAACTCCCTCTCCGCCTTCCCAGCCCTTGCCCACAAGAATAAAAGTACCTAGAATTTGCCCCAAGGCATCTAAGGAGAAAACTGATGGCACCTTCCACTTCTGTCTTTTCCTTCTCACCAAAAGTGAACTATAATAAAGAGTTCACACCCGAGATCCCTCCCCCAGTCCTGGAGTTAGGTGACTGCCTTGAGGTGGGGAATAGTAAACCCAGAACGCTGGTAGCCAGCCCAGAACCCAGGGTCTGCCCCTCCTCTACCCATTCTCCTTCCCCTCCGATCATAACGAGCATGTGTCAAGTGCACCACCTCATTTAAGCATCTCCAAAAAGCTGAGCCGGGACTGGACGCACTCACCTGAGGTGTGACAAGACCACAATGGTTAGCGCTTTTCTCTAGGCCACGCACCTAGTAAGTGGCTGAGCCGGGGTCTCAACCCAGACCTGCCCTGCCCGACAGCCTTCTCCCAGGACTTGGGTGTCCCCACCTTCCCAGATCCCTATACTGTGCCGGCCTCCCGTGGAAACAGGGACGTGCTACAGGGAGCGGAGGGGAGGGAGGGAAGCCCAAGGGAAGCATGTGGTTAGAGACCAACTACGGAAAGCCATAACCTGTTTTATTAACACGGAAACTGCACAGCTGGGACTTCAGCCAGGTGACTTGTAGCCGATGAACAAGCCCCACACTTAGCAGCCTCTCAGGGACCCTCTGAGGGCCTCTCCCTGCTGCTGGCAGGGAAGGGAGTGAGAGAGCAGCAGGGAGGCAGGTGCACACAGCTATTCCTCGAAGAAGGCCAACGTGAACTCCCCAGGGTCATCTCCACACTGCGGCCCCTCCAGTTGCTCTGGCTCTTTTCCAACATCTTCCAGGAGTTGCTCCAGGTCCAGGTCACTGGAGATGTCATCATCAGGGGGGACACTTCCAGCCGCTGGAGGACACTTCCAGCCTTCTTTCCCCCCCAGGGGACAGACCCCGCGATGAGCTGGTGGGGTCAGGCCCTTGGGCACCATTCTAGCTTCTTTGTCCTTAGACAAGCTGGTTCCTGAGGCTTTCCTTTGAGGAGCTTTAAATTTTTTCTTAGGGCCTGGATGAAAAAGTGATGAAACTGAGAGTCCTATTAGGCCATCTGGCCTTACCTTTTACAAGTCAAACTCCTAAATTCCTATTTCCAAAAAAATCTCTGGGAAAGATGACTTTTCTCAATAGAAAGAAAATGGGCTTTGGAGTTAGAAAGACCTGGATTTAAGCCACGGATCTAGCCATATGCTAGTCCTGGGTCTTGAACAAATTTTAAACCCTTTGGGCCTTAGTCCTCTTATCTCTAAAATGGCAACTATCTAGTCATAGAGATATTGAAAGAATTAATGGGAACCAGCAAGAAGTATCTAGCCAGCTCACAGCAATACTCAATAAACGTCAGTTTCCCCCACTCCTCACCATCCTCCTGTTCTTGGATCAAATGACATCAATAACCATTATGTGCTACACTCTGCAATCTGAGAAACCTAATTTTTATTCTTTTTTTTTTTAAGATTTTATTCATTCATTCGAGAGAGAGAGAGACTGACAGAGAGCACAAGCAGGGGGAGAGGCAGAGGGTGAGGGAGCAGCAGACTCTGCACTGAGCTGGCAACCCGACATGGGGCTTAATCCCAGGACCTGGAGATCATGACCTGAGCCAAAGGCAGACACTTAACCTCTGAGCCACCTAGATGCCCCTAATTTTTATTCTTTTTAAAAATAATGAGAAGCTATAAAGTTAAAAAATGATCCAGGAAGGGGAGACACGGCCTTGAACCTTGTTTCCCATAGTTTTGCCCAGGCCCTGAGCCTTACCTGGCTGGTCAGGCTCCGATTTCCCATGCCTTTCTTTCCTTCCTGTTATGGGTACAGGAGAGGCTGCAGATTTATTTCCCAGAGCTCTCTTCATTGTCTTCTTTTGCAGGGTCACATCTTGTCCATCTGTTAGGCCTGTATCACGCCCACCCCCCAACCATGAAGGACATTTGTTTATTTCTCTCTAAATGACAGTTTGGCAAGGGTCCATGGACTCCCCACAGTTAGTCTCTGCCCTGCATCCTCTGCTCATTCTCAATCTAGTGAGTTTTCTCAGTTCCTTCCTTTTTCCCAAATATTTCTCTTTTTTTCTCTCTCCCTCCCTCTCCACCACCCCCCGGCCTTTTTTCGTTCTGGACCTTCTTCTTCTTATGTTTTTCCTCATAGCCTGCCTCCTCCAGGAAGTCATCCTTCTTGGCTAAGAATTTAAGACATTCATTCCACATTCAACCTAAGATTTTATAATCAGAACAGAGAAGCAAGGAGGCTACAGCTTCCCTGGTGACACTAGTAGGAATCTTGACCATTTTTGCAGAGTTTAGAGCTGAGAGTCAGTAAGATCCGGTGACCTGCAGACCCCTCCCACTGTCTGCTTCTGCTCTGCCTTAATGGCAGCACATACCTGTTCCCAGCTGGCTTGCTTACCTCTTGCCTTGGGTTTTTTGGTCTGAATTTTGGCTGGCTTGGGACTGGACAAAGTTGGGTCCTGAGAATGGGAGAGAAAAAAAAGAAAATACAAATGAAGTCATATAACTGTGTTTTTAATAGAGTGGGATGCTACAGAAATGATGGGTGGTTAGGGGAGTCACATTGGGTTCTGTAGCCTGATACTGTTTAAATCAATGATAACAAAGATAAAACTGTTCTCCTTTCCATTCTATTTGGTATTAGTCAGTACAAGGCTTTAAGCACAAGAGAAAGAAATAAAGTTAGGCCATGAACATGATTTAAAAAAAAACTGTTAAATTAAAAGTTAAACCAAAAAAAAAAAAAACCCAAAACAAAACAAAAAAAATAAAAGTTAAACCAATAACTAGACTCTTAGTGTTGATCACTTTATAGTGCATATAGATATTGAATTACAATGTTGTACCCTGAAACCTATATAATGTTACAGGCCAATTTTTCTTCAATAAGAAAATAATTTAAAAAAGTAAAAAAATCTGTATTTCAGGACTTCCAGTTTCCAGTTCTACATGTAAGGGTTTGGAAGTCATCACTCTGTTCTAACAACAAGTAAAAAAGCTGAACAGACTGAAAAATCAACAACTCTTTTTGTTTTGATCAAAGAGGGAAGGACACAGGGCCACCAACCCTGAAGAGACAGAGAGGCAAATGCAGGAAGTCATAACTTACCAGAGCACAGACTCAGAAGCAGAAGAACCAGTCCTTCTCACAAGAACCAGTTCCAGGGCAGGAAAACCTCAACAGTACTAAATAAATTGTTCAATGCAGACAAGTCTGGGAGTTAAAAACTCCAGTGGTGCCCAGTCTTATAGGTGCTCCCAGACTTTTGTGAGTTTGACCTCCAGGAATCTGACCAGGTTTTCACAGAAAATATCAGAGAAAAATCCCTTCATGCTTCCAGCAGGAGGAGCAGGAAAGGAACCACTTTGAAATATACCAGAGCACTCTATCCTTCTGACAAAGGCCTGCTCTCAGGAGAAACTAGTTAACCACAGCCTAATCTACCAGGATATTATCAGAGCCTGACTGTCCAGAGGGAAGAGAAATATTTAACCCCAGCCCACTGTAACCATCCTGTCCCACCTAATCGGGGGTGTGTGTGTGTGTGTGTGTGTGTGTGTGTGTGCGCGCGCGCGCGTGTGTGTGTGCGTGTGTGTGTGTGTGTGTGAGAAACACTAAGAAACACTTTGAAGTTCACAGGCCGGTGTGTGTGTGTGTGTGTGTGTGTGTGTGTGTGTGTGTGTAACACTAAGAAACACTTTGAAGTTCACAGTCTGGTGTGTGTGTGTGT